GAACGATTGAGTCCAAAATCGCGTCGATATCGGCGTTTTCGTTTTGCTGTAAATCACAAAGAATAATTCGATTTATGGAGCACCTCTTATTCAGCCGCTATGATCTTTACCACTGTCTATTAAGAAGTACCTCAGCAGTTCCCATCTTCCCTTCGACTTTTCTGGCTATTTCACGAGTAGCAACCAGATGTGACTGAACCTTCTCCACACGCTCAGCGTAGGCTAACTCGGCCGCCATACTGAAAACACAAACTGTAACTATTCAAGGAAAATAGAAACTGGACGAAAAAGATATGTCCTCATCAGTCACGAGAGTAGGACGAAGGTGGAACAACAAACAACGAAATAATAACATTAGCAAATTATCACAGCTCACCTTGCACCTAGCGCCATGGGCAATGAGATGTCCGCGCCCTTTGTCTGGCTCTTCTGGAACTAAGATGACTTAGTACAAGTGTTGGGAAACACTATCACAAACTCACTACCTCAGGCTCGCCATGATCTAGAGCAGCAGTGCTCACATCTTCAGACTCTTCGTGAGCTGTATGATTCAATGCAGGATCTTGTTCTGAATTTGACAGATCCCTATACAAGGAGGAGTTGAAGCCAACAGGTAAGGAGCGGCGAGGTAAAGACATCTCTAGAAATTACAAATAATTTTCTGTGACGGAGAATGTGCCTCAGAATACTGCAAAGCAAGAGAAAAGGCGCGTGGAAGTTTAAGCTGACCGTTTAGCTAGACGGCCCCGTAATCAACTAAATTATGAATTTCATCACGAATTCTCTGCTTATCTTTAAACATATCATTTACAACCAACTACGACCCTCCATGACCACAATATGAATAAGCTTTATTAAACTCATCGTATGGTTTACATCGGAGAGGTCGTCGGGTTCAAGATGTTGCAAACACTCACCGCTATTTCTCCTCATCCTCTTTAGGCTTTCCAATTGACTCGGATCCATAGTTTGACGATTTTCGCTGAATGATGGAAATGCTGAAGTATCGAGTGGTGGTAAACCCAGACGAATTGGTTTGCTGAAAACATCCAAATGCAGGGAGAATGGAATGAGACGATAACGCCATCCAACTACTTCAGGAGGTAGCAGAAATTCCAAAAACAATTAATTCAAATTCAAATTAATAAGAGCAAGATTAATGCAGTGCATCGTGCATTTTGGTTTCGCCATAGCGATTCCACCCATACCCTTACAGACCGTGTAGGGGTAGGGAGGTAGCCGAAGGGAAACCTAAGCTGGTACAACTAATACCACATATATAGACGTTCGATGCTCCCATAAACTAGTGCTAAACGATCATATCTGTGAACGTTTCACCTCTGTTGCAATTGTGTACGATATGTACAGAGCACGAGTTTGTTCAACTCAACATTCTTTTAAGCTATACTGGAATTGAACAAGGGAAAAAACAAACGAGAACTCACCTCAGAACATCTCGCGCTTGTTTGATAGCGATGTCTATCTTGTTGGAAACTTTATCAAAAGCGGCCAGTTGAGCTTCAGTTCTCTCCTTCAAAGAAATATTCCGTTCAAATGGTGAATGCACCGCCGACAGGCTTTCTAAAAGTGTAATACGTAGTCAATATTGCATACAAAGCATGGAAATTCCAAACCTCTGCCAGAAATGAGTGAAAACTGTGGCTGCTTAGCAGGTGGCGAGAACTGGGGTGCAATCACCGAGTGGGGAGGATTCGAGCTAAAGTTAGAAAGGAATTATTTAGGTAATCGATTATGGCATACAACAGCTCATTTGAACGTTACCTTTGTTCTCGCTGTGAAGGGCGTATATGTGTCATTGGTGTGTAGAAGACATCATCGGGGCTGACTAGGTTTCCGGGTGTCGTTGCGTTTTGTGCACCTGGACCAGTAAATTTAGTAAAACGAGAAGCATGATAATACGGACCGCTATTTTGTCCACTTATGTATACTTCAAAGAATATGATTAACAAGATAGCAAGATTATTAACGATCAACCAGAAATTGAAAAATAGCAGAAATAGCATTTCACTTCACATTTTCTAAGACGCAGGTTCACTATTCCACATTTGGGTTGCTTGACTAAGAACAGTAATTGGAACCGATGGAAGTCTTCAGAGGCAAAAAAACTAACCGTCGTTATTGGGTGGCGTAATAGCGTCAGATTCGAGTTGAAGGGATGGCATAACCATCTGCATCAATTTTCACTGGCTTATTGAAGTTTGTTGATGGCGCAGACGGGGTAGGAACAGTATGGTTGTCAAGGGGATCCTTAACATCTACTCTCAAGAAAAAAAAACAGGAACACAAATGAAAGAAATACTAAAAATCATGTTAACAAATAAGCAAAGAAACAAGCATAATTGGTTACATGTTGCACAGGTTCCCAGTCCTCGCATGTGGGAGAAGAGTTAGCCCGACGACGTGGTTTCTCTATCACTCTGATATTCTCCTTCGAAGGATGAGATCTTTCTACAGGTTCCTTATTTTGGCCATTACCAGCCTGAAGAGAAGCAGATCATTACAAACTATTCATTGGATGCCATATAAGCAATACTGATTTTTTAATTTCAACCTACCACTCCAAGAGCAAACGGTTCTCTAGTGAAGTACTCTATTGTCCACGATTCATGTTTTCGACTCTTGGGCGTGGTCTGATGAGGTTTCGATGGCTCATGCTCGTCGTGCTTCGGCATTAATCCAGCCATAAATTTTGGAGGACTGTGCACTTGAAAGATCAATTCATAAGATTCATAAGATATACAGCGGCCAGCATCACCATAAGAGAATTGAAAAGAGAATATTTCCAAATTGTGACAGAATTAGAAACTTTTCTCCCAAGTGACTACTCCAATGAAACCATTAAAATCCCCACATCAGGAGATATAAGTCATCCAGAACGCTTTACAACAAAAATATATGGAAGCAAACAATAAGACACAACTCACTTTCATTCCATTTTTGCAGACGTTCTGCTAATTTCCGAACACTGCGATCAGGATCATGCGGTATTGGAAGAGCCCTGGCATGGGGGATCTGTGAATGTTCCTTTAGTGGTGAAGTTCGAGTATACTTGTTTGCAGGACGATGTTCTGAAAAACCTCCAAGGAAGTATTGAGTGGAAAAGGATCAGTAAAATAGATGCCAGCAGATGCAATTGTAGCAAATCAGTGACAGTGATATGCTCCATGGCGACCGAAGGCCCTTTATGGGAGTCTTATTGTTATCACGCATGAAAACGAATACAAAGGAAACCAATGGGCTCCACGACCGCTATGTTCAAGATTCCGAAGGTCATAAGAACGATTACACATGCAAATGACGGAAGCTAACATGGTACAATTTCGAACAAAAGCGTAATTCTTTCACAAAGTAAACTTACTTGATGGCGAGTTAGATGGCTTAATCGGTGAGCGATTGTTATTTGCTTTGCTGGAGCTGAAACGGTTAAGTTTGCAATTAATTATTTCCTCCCATAAAAATATATATACTATTAGTTTGTTTTTTTTCTATTTATTTTCATACGTCTAAGCGACATGCCAGCCCAAAAGGGGCGTAATAAATTAATGAAGCAAAGCCGGGAAAAGAAGGAGGGCAAAGAACGACAAGGAAAACTAGAACAAAAACAAAAAGACCGCAAAGATCAACTCAGAAATAAGTGTTGGATAATACTGGGATAGGCCAAAAGCAAGACTCCAGAAAACATGCTAGCAAGAGAGGGTAGCTAATGATAACTTAATCACTAGTATTACATGAGAGGCATCATGAGCAGGAGGCAGTCTCTGATTAGGGGAACCAATCCGTGAAAGTAGAGAAATAAAAATGCTTAGATTGCCACTAGTGTAGTCAAGGATAGACGAGCTTCCCTCGAAGAGCAACACTGTGACCCAGCAACAAGTACCTGCATCAGCCGGCTGTGATGCCCTTCGCCACTACGGGGTCATCAAAGGGACTTGCCAAACTCCGACACAAGGGTAAACCGGCAGCCCACGTGGCTCCCCCACTTTCTTTCACGATTTGGGGCGCGGCCGCGGCGAAGCGCGGCCGAGTCGATAGTGCCCGCGAACTGTGTGGGTAAATTTGAAAACGCATCACCACCACAGTTCGCGGGCACTATCGACTCGTCCGCGCTCGCCGCGGCCGCGCCCCCACCCCTTCCACCCCCGCTCGCCCTACTCACACCCGCCCACCCCCCGAAACGCTTGCAAGAAAGATATCGAGTGGCTATGTGACCGCCACGTTGAATCGTCTGGCAAGCTAGCGGTTTACACATTTGTGAGGCGAAATTCCACGTCGTAGACAGAGGAAGAGCTTGCACTAATCATGTAAATGAGTTCGCAGAATATAGCTCAAGAAAAGAAAGCAGCGAAAGGAAGGCCAAAAGTAGCGAAGGATTATCAAAGGAGTTCAATTTAGAATGAGACAACAAACTGTACTGATTTTTTGTGAGGAAAAACTGAACTGCAACGCTGACATTAAGAAGAGAAAAGTTTTCAGAGGAGTATAATAATAGACACGCTTTATATGAAAACGAAAACTCCAAAAATCCCAGCAAATCAAGAATGGAATAATAAACAGACCTCTGCCGGTGAAACTGTATGTCGGCCGGATACAACACAGATTTCGGCTGTCCGCCTTTCTCCCATGGGTGGACTTCGCGATGCGGTGAACGAGAACGATCTTCTAGATCAAACATACTTTCTTAACAGTTCCATCATGACATCAGAAATTCGAAGAACTACTCGTTAAGAATCCGAGTGAAAATGTAATAATAAAGAGCTCGTAACAAACCTGGACGTGAAGGATCTCGAGACGGCAAGTAGTTGGGCTGAAATAGAGCAGATCACAAAAACCCTGAGGTATTACGTCTGGTATTAGACGCTTCAAAAATACAAGAAATTGCACTGCACGATACTATTTGCCTGATTGTGAGTGATTTAACTCGTGATTTCGCAGTGCAAACCGAGGCTACAGTTAACAGAAGAGGTGCTATGTACTCTCTACAAGCTAGAAACTCAACTTTGTGTGGAAACAACACTCACCTTATTCTCCATTACTTGTGAGTGAGTACCAACGAGAAGTCACCACTGTAAAGCACTTTGGTGAGGTTAAAACTTTACTTTTCATTAAACGACAAAGTCCTCAAAAAACATGGAAGGGCGCTCATCCAGGTAAGGGGGGGGGGCATTGTGATGCAACGTCAAGTGGCTGCCCTCACCCCCACCCCCTGAGACTGGCCTTCACTCCCCCTGGCTCACGGGGTCCCGTACTTCGAGAAACCTGTGCGCCAGGGGGAGTGTAGGCAGTCTAGGGGGGGGGGTGAGGGCAGCCACTTGATGCCCCCCTTACTGGATGAGACCCTGAAATATTTTGAGAGTCAGAACAGAAATAATTCAAAAAAGCGACACAACTGTCTGTAGATATACCGTGACAAGTAATTACTGAAAGTTATGAAATGCTACTGCTGCAAATTCGCGCGATCCGATCCAGTCTTACCGCAATTGCAGACATTAGTCAAATGACGGTTACGGGCAGGTTCAATCCTATGTTGCGATCAGTATCAACAGGGGGGGGGTCAAATTTTGTTGAGTTTGTAGGTGGAGTGAGGGGTCGTGTACGAGTTTGGGGAGTGTAGTGTGAAGGAGTGAAAAAATAGCCGTTTTAACTGCCAACCCTCCCCCCCCCCCTCGCTTCGACGGCTTTTTGAAGGAAAAGTGTGTGGAGTTATGTGTGGGTTGTCTCAGAATTAAATACTACGAGCATTGGTGGCCGGAGGTGCGTAAAGCGGAGAGGTCGTAAATTCTGAATTGTAGGGGTAGTAAAAATTTCCGAAAAGTCGCCACGCTAGGACCGACCCTGGTTACGGGGCAGTGGTTAACCAAAGTGTGAGAGTCCAGACAGAAAAGCAAACACATTGTGCCTTTCTAGGGCTAAGCCTTTTGAAGGAAAAAAGAAAGCATAGGTACTGTAATAGTGTGCATATGCGAGTGTGCCTAGGGAACACTATAAAATGCTGAATGACCAAGCCTTCCGGTTGACCGCTGCCCTTGGACGTCAAATGACGAGCACGCTGAAAAGTCCTATTTTTATAGTTTCTAGGTCCTCTGTTTTTTTTCTCAAGAAACAGTTCAAACCTCACTACAAGAGTGTGAAGAGCTGAGAAAATTCTGATCCATGGTGGAGATTTTAAAATCTTTCTTCATATGGAGATTAAATGTAGGGTTCCGGGTGATGAGAGGGGCTGAGGAGTGCGTGCCCCTTTTAATTAGGCTTTCGCTCTCGGAATCGCTTCGCCTTCGACAGAGTGGTCGGCTTTGATCCTCTTTTGATCCTCTGGTGGGGAGTGCAGCTAAGCAAGCCTCGACACAGTAGGTTGGTTGCTTGACGACGAGGCGAAAAGAAAAAACGAAATCATTCCTTGAAGCCCGTTATCCGTAGCTGTTCGCTGCCGCCGCACGTCTACAAATTATTTGACGGTGTACGCCACGCCGCCAAACTTCTTTTGAGTCGTGGAAGTATTTGAATGTGTGTTCAACATCATAAGTTGCTATAACTACCTGATGTTCAAACCCAGTAATTGTTACTGCTCAGACAACTCCCACCAAACTGCAGGCAAAATTGGCTAGAACAATGTGGCACATGTATTTCACTCGACTTGCTAGGTGAAATGGAAAGCCTCGCTATTGTAGGCCGTCGTGAGGCAGCGTTCAGAGTTGGCGATCGCTGTTGCGGACCGAAAAATTCGACAGCTTTCTTTCTAATCTCGCTTACTCGCAAGATCGCCAAATCGCATGTATGATAGCCAACCCTGACTGCTGCCTAAGCATTGTTGTTCCTGTATTATTCTATAATGATATATATATAATTTATCAAGGTGAGGAAACCAACTCACAGTGAACTCGCGAAAATTCCCATTAGCTAGCTAAAATTAAAACAGGCTCTAATATAGCGCCGCTCCAAACCAACATTTGCCTAAGTCTCAGACATGAATGAAAGCCGGGTCTAAATATGGAGCGGTCTCCTGAAAATGATTTTAGGTGGGGTCCAGCAAATCACAGCAAGACTGGTGTTGTGACATCTCATCCTTTTGCCCTCCTCTCGTTAATACAAGATTCGACTGTCGTCAACACCAAAAGGACTGAGTCATACAACCCACTTTAATTGAGCAGATTCGGCTCATTACACGGGCGTGGCCAAAAAAAGAGACACTTAGCCCATGCGCACATCATCGAACTTTTGATCGCACAGAGAGCCGCCTCTTCGTAAAAGTTATGCTATAATTATGCAAAACCGCTTTTGACCAGCGTTTCAGAGGACGTCGTAATGGTCTATGGTACCTCGACGACCTCGTTGAGCTCGTACCGTGAACCATGTTTCCGTGGGAAAATCTTCTGATGTCGTCGGTGTAGAAGGCTGTCATGTAACTTTTGATAGATTAGAATGTGCTCTTTAATATTCAGTTGTATCAAACAAATCGTATAGCATACATTATACGAAGTTATCATTGGTTGTCTCGCAACGCGTAAATTAATTCCGTTTTAAATGTGGAGTAGTGTCTCTTTTGTGACACCCTGCAACAAGTGGTGGCGGCCCAGCTTTTCACGCATGTCAAGTGACTGCCCCTCACCCCCACCCCTAGATTGGCTACACTCCCCCTGGCTCACGAATTCCCCGATTCTCGTGACAGTATAGTAGCGGGCAGCAGTCCCACTTACATACATTTCTGTTCAAAAAATGCGGCGTGCCCACCCTACTTGTATAGCACCCGGACCCAATCCCCCAAGGGGTTGAGGGACGAAAGTCCCTTTAAATTTATTTGTTTTGAACGATATAGTTTCTTCATTTTCAGTGCATGTTTACTTTGACCTACATACATACATTAAATGTAGGCCCTTTATCAGGACAATCCCAGTTGGGAAGACAGAGAAAATTTAAAGGGATTTTCGTCCCCCAAACCCTTCGGGGAGGATAATCCGGCCCTGATTGGTTTGTTAAGACGCATTCATAGTCGGTTGTCCGAATCGTAAAGATCGTAACGATCGCAAGCATTGGAAGCATATCGATCGTCAGACGTTTCTGTGCACTGGACGATCGATACATATCTAACGCTGTGTTATCGTTACGATCGGATAACCGACTATGAATGGGTAAATGTGGGCATTCGTTAATGCCGCGAGTTACTCCTTACTTCCGAGCGCAAACGTCTGCCTAAATAACACAGCATCATGCAATATTTCTTGTCCCATTCATTTGTTCTACTAACCAACCAAAAACTGATCTTTATCACACAATATCACGGCATATCGTCAAGGACTAAATAATTAACAACAAAAAAATCACAGATTTAGCACTCTCGATCTCCGAGTTCGAGCTTTTTGTACAGCTCAAACACCACTTCCATAACATGTTTGAAATCAGGCTTTGTACCAGCAAAAGTCGTCGGATCAACGTGGATCTTAAGCTTTGACGCCAGTTGGACAGCCAATTGTGGGCATTTGTCTCTTTGCAGCAGTGTAGCACGATCGAGCTGCAACAGAAGCGAATTTAATTGTAGTTAGACCAAAACTAGTAATAATAAAGGTACGAAAAAGTGCACTCCCTCAGGGCATACGAAATGGTCATAGCGATTACATTAAGCGATAATGGCATAATAATACGATTTCAGCCAAGTCGCAATGTTGCTATAAACGATGCTCGATTACGGTGGATCGAAACCATACCTGACCCCCCAGCTCTCCATCCCTGTAGAACTAGCTAATTGGTACTTTTGAAGGGAAGAAAAAGCTGCCATGAAGATCGGCTGGCTTTTACGGACTCCAAAAATGCAAGATGATCTTTATCCTAGCTATAATTCAGGGTTCAGATTTTCTTCTGGAAGCCTCAACCCTAAAGCTTTTATAAGATAAAGGAAATTATGAGTTGACCGGATGTAGGCAAGGAGCAGACTGTTGATAAGAAACGCATTTTTCACAACATGAGGATCCGGATATATCTAGATATGGTGATACGCTAATACCGCACAAGATAGCGTAAACATTTGAGAAGCGAAGTATGCAGTGGCAAGTAGGCGCCCTTACGTGTAAGTAGCGCGCGTCTCACGCACACGGTCCAATCAAATCACGGATCGAATCTCGCCTATGCCAGCCAGGTTTTCCATCCCTGTGGAGTCGATTAATTGGTAAATAAACTTGTTTTGAGAAAACCAATAACGTGTACATACACTGGCATCCTTGCAAGTCATTGTACAGGCCAAGTCGCATTCAAAGTGCTATTGCGATACTGAAGTGAAGTAAAATGTATGGCGCACCCAAGACAAGGGATTGATACATGTCTAATGATTTGTTACTGGTTACGCTTCTCTCTTCGAAGTGCTTATAATGATGCCACAATGCTTCTTACCAGTTCGGGCTGAAAATGATGAATCAAAGCGCAAAAAGCACGTCCATCACACCAGTCCGAGGTGAAATTCGACACGGATATGGAAGGGTAAGCAGTGAGGCTGAAACCGTGAAATTTTAGGTAACACACCATAGATATGAATCGAAAAAGGGGTCTATTCCAGTTAGGGGGCATCATGATGCAGTTTTTCCAGAAAGCTAGGGTAACTCCGAGCCAGGGGGAGTGTAGCCAGTCTAGGGGGTGGGGGTGAGGGCAGTCACTTGACATGCGTGAAAAGCTGGAATGTTCGAGTTCACACTAGTTCGCCGAGAAACTGCATCATGATGCCCCCCTAACTGGAATAGACCCCGGAAAAGCAGAGAAGCGCTAGGTGTAACGTATGGATGCTGAGCGAGTGGTCTCAAAACGAACAATAAAGCTTGAGAGCTTAATCTCAGTCCTAGTCTCAGCTTAATTAACTACGTCAAAGTGGTCGCTCTGCAGCCGCACGCTTGATTGCAACACGCCGTCTCTTTGGCACACTTCGCAAGCATAAGAGTCTAGTATCCAATGAACGGTCTCGTGGTAAGGCCCACTAATTAGATTCAGAACAAGATAAGACGTTGTATAAAATTTTTCTTACATCCTTATTTCACATGAATTCAGATTTTAAAAGTTAATGTAATAACTTAACGACTAACTGTGCCTCAGCCCAGGCCAGTAGGGCGTTACGCTTTGTGCTCCGTTGAAATTTCTGCATCAGGTCGTCCCATATCGCCTCATCAGGAGAAGCAATCGCTCGATTGGCATCAATCATCCTTGAAAGCGCAGAAGTTATTTTTTGTGTAAGAGATGTTCGATGCCGCGTGTAATTAGGAAGCAGCTAACCACTCAGGTACTTCTCAGCAAGTATTAGGCCTGCTCCTCTGCAAAT